CTTTATGTTAGGTTACCGAGATTTGTTATCTAAATATAGATAACGATGAATAATATAGATAAGATGAACAGGTTGGCTTTTGAAACAAAATTTATTTAATTACATACGTCTAATTTTAACAACCATATTCAACTAAAAAATCAATGCCAATTTGCTATTTGATAGTAATTCTTTATGTCCCTGAACTTCCATCGCACCATTCCGTAACACTCTGTATATTATGACACAAACTAATATTTTGTCATTTCTAACATTTTTTACCATGAGACCAACTATGTCTAGGTTAATGATGGACACAATATTAGAAGACGGTCGTTTTGGTTCAGAAGAGCGGTCAATAATCCTTGCTGCTATAATCAAAAGTCAATTCGAGAACTTGTTGCGTGTTATAGAAATATGTAAGTAAGCTGTTGATTTTTTTTATTTCCTTTTTTTCTTGGAGTTAGTTATGAGGAGAATTGAGATATGAATTCACTTTATAGGTATGGCGGACCACAAAAATTAGAGGAGTTACTATTTGTTTTGGCTGATAATATCGTAAATGATCGCATAGAGTATAAAGTAAGTAAAACAAATTATGTGTATTATATTTTTAGTGGCAACAGTTTTTTGTGAAAGAGTCCGTCCAGGGAAGTATTGCCACCTTTTATCTATTTCTGCCGCCAAGCAGTAATGTGAGCATTGCTGCGTTCAAGTTTTGAAGAGTAAGGGTGCTGGTGAAATTACAGGCACATGAGACTTATCAACTTATATCGCAGGGTGCACCGGCCCAGTGGCAGTGTTGCTCAGATCTCTCCAATTTAAAGCTCTGAGTGGCACTGCAACTGCTCCTACCTGTGGTTTACTACCAGGCGCACGACTTGTTCGGTCCGTTACTTGTCATAAAAAAAATCGTGACAATAACACTTGTCGGAGTAAAAAGAATGGTTTTCAAATAAGTTCCTAATTGATCTCAACGTAAGTATGATTAGATGGTGGGTTTTAGTTTGGTAATTTAAATGTTTATTCTTGCAGTTCCGTATATGGGTTAGATCAAACGTGAATGATTTTGATGAATCTGAGGTGATCGCAAATCGTGCTCTGAGTAATGCGCAGAACAACATGGAATGGAGGCAAAGATTCCTCGATGAAGTTTACACATGGATCGATAAGAACTAAGCTCACACATTTGTCGCTTTTTTTGTCCTGTTCTGCTTCACTGCTTTAATTTGTATATTTAACATTATCGTATTTATTGTTGTTAAATTCGTTTCGACAAAAGTGGGATAGAAGGGAATCAAATTTATTTTACATATAACGTTCGTATTTACTTAAAGGTTAACAATTGTTTAATCAGGAGCATACTAATGAATTCAATTACTACTAAGATGGTTATCACAGTAGTGAATAAAATTATTAAAATATTGTTTATTGCACATTAAAAATTACATTAATACAATATATCAATAAGTATTTTAGAATAAGGTAATATAGAATCTTCTTCGTTTTCTTTTTAACCTCTGTCCATGCAATGATGAGTGTAGGTTTCTTTAAATGCACTCCACAGATTTAGCATGAAATAACAAATAATACATAATTTGTATTAATTAATATTTTATTCAATTAAGGCACAGTTATAAGTTAATAAATATTAATTTATATAAAACCTTAGAATAATAACATAAAACATTATAGCGTTCAGTATGTAGGTACATAATAATATTATTATGTTGTATGAAATGAAACTAAAGTATCAGTTATAAATTATTAAAATAAATTACTCAGAATACAAGTTTTTTTTTAAGAACTATTAACAAAATAAACTTTTATATAAATGACTAGAATAACATAATATACTAAATTAATTATGGTACATTGAGATTGCGCTTTGTAACATTTTCATTTCTAGATTTCATATTAAGACCCTACTTTTATAACTAATAAACAGTGTCTCATGTTTTTCAAAACAAAATTTCAACTTTATCTACAAACTATCAACTTACCACATTCGTGCGAGCTACGTACTATGTCGCCATAAATATTTTGTGAGTGATGTAGAGTAACGTACTACTGAGTCGTGTAATTTCTTTTATTTCATCGAAGAACGTAAGAGAACGCTATTTGGTATACAAAATCTTAATAGTGACGTCATTGCTCTACCACGTATTAAAATACATCTAAAAATAGCGACAATTTTGTAGCAGTAGAGCTCCTCGTGAAAGAATTCGTCCATGCAAGTACTGCCAAATTACCTATTTCTATCGCCAAGCAGTAAAGTGAGCATTATTGCGTTCCAGTTTTGAAGGGTAAGAGTGCTGGTGAAATTACAGGCACATGAGACTTATCAACTTATATGTCAGGGTGAGAGGGCGCAGTGGCAGTGCCTATCAGATCTTGTTTTAAAGCTCTGAGTGACTCTGCAACTGTTATGGACAGGCGTGTCGCTTAGCATCAGGCGCACGACTTGTTCATCTCGTCACTTGGTATCATAAAAAAAGATACGCAGTATAGAAATTTCACAAGAAAACAAATACTACTCACACAAACCAATAACCGTTGGCATACATACACGTACGACGTCGGCGAGTGGTTTATAGGCGTGTCACTATCATTTATTGTTACATTTAATAGCCTGTAGAAAAAACGTTTATAAACGTTTGCATTAATGTATGAGAAAAATATCTGCCACAGCGCATCAATCGATAAAAGCACGATGCCCGCGCGAATATGTTAAATCCAATCTGTACCTGCCCGAGAAATCACTTTCGGGTAAATAATTATTTCTAATAATATCGTATATCTCACATAGAAATCTCAAAAAAAAGTGCGTGGTACGTTTATTATTTATATGTTTATTGTAGTGTAATTCTTATATAACCAAGAACTTACACGTCGTACGTGCAGAAATATAAAGTCACAACAAAGCTAAACGGATCCATTGGCTTTGCCGATAAAAGGATTACACTCTGAAAAAGTGCTAACTATAAGGATGTTTATTTAAACTTACTGACATAAGTATGTAACAATAGTGACAATGTGCATATCTACAACTTCATACTAATTTTTTAGTAAGTAATTTATACAAATCCAACAATGCCTTTTGATACAAAAAACTTTTCTCACAATGCGTCTCCATTTTTTGATTGAACACTGTATGTGATCTTCTATGAGAATGTTCAGGACCCCGATTCAGAATTCTTCGATATTTTAACCGAATCGTTAGATTGGATATCGTTCTCGAATCGAAGGGCACTTTCCGACCTTTTCACAACATTCGAGTAGGTAAACGTTCGATTCGGATTCGGATACAATATCGTTATCCAACAGCGTAACGGAGTTAGTCGGTAAAATAGATTATAAGAAAAATAAAAATCCTTTTATATACATTTTTAAGAATTTAAAGGCCTGAAATATAGAAATGCATTAGTCTGGCATTAAAATAAATTAATAAAATTGAACAAAATCCAGTTTTTATTTAAAATAGTAAGAGATTTCTGTATTACATTGTTGCTTTGTAAATAATAGGACGTTTGGTAACTTTCATTCGATAATTGCGTTCTTAATAACGTTTCTAGCCTTTGCCGGTCGAGAGTACGAGTCGTATCGATATCGAATCGTACGGGTGTCACGTCATTTCGGTTCGGTTTCGAATACGACAGTGATATTCAATTCGGTTATTGTGAATAAAAATGAAAAGAAATCGTACGATATCTAATCGAATCGGTCGACAACTGAGTTATCGTAAGGTTCTGAATCGGCCCCCAGGTTCGTCTGAGGGCTCTTACAAATAAACACGATACGACGTCGCGTCGTGCTACGAGACTCGGCATCGTTTCACGATGCGACGTCGTATCGTGGAAATCTACGACGAGCAACGTAAAAATTCAAAACAAGACAAAGATTACTTTGTATTTTTTTTGTATTTGTTGATGTTTTGCCCCATAGTACAGGTTGCTCCTTGACTAGGGTTATTAAACAGTCAACCTCAATGTCGTCTGTCATCTTTGAATATTGAATAACAAATGAATGCGGCACTCGGGAGCGCACCGTGAATTTCTACGACACGACGTCGTGCCGTGTCGTGTCACGTTGCGGTGTCGTGTCCTGAATTTTTACATTTCTCGTTGTAGATTTCCACGATATGACGTCGCATCGTTTCACGATGCGATCGTGTAAGAGCCCTAAGCCATTTTCTAGAAATGGTCTGTTAAAAACATTACTTTCTTTTTTTGTTTGGGTGAATAAAGTGTAACTTTTTTAGCTGAAATTGTCTTTATAATACATGTCTTTTTGTTATAACATAATGGCAAGGAGAAGTGATTTTAGTTTAATAAAAGTGTACATAATGCAACTAGACTAATTAATTCAGGGGAATTAAGTAAGCACAGCGTAATTTTAATACCACGATAAAATTTGTAGTAACATTATCAAGTAAAACAAATGTCTCGTAAAGGCAGTGCCAATAAAAAATTTTGTTTTAAGCAAACGTCATTACATCGCTTGTTAAATACTTTTTTAAATGTATTACGTTTTATGATTAATTAGTCCAATTAAAAGCAGAATCCAATGTAAAATTTTAAGTTAAATACATAATACCTAATAACACAACAATTGGAGATATGTGCAATTCACACGATGATAAACGAAGTTAAGTATTATTGATTGAATATAAGAAATATTTATATACAAATCAATCAATACTGTTTAATTTTACAAAGCCATATGTACTTATCACCATTACGAAAATAGCCAATTACATTTTTAATAGATTTATTCTGTAAATCTATTCTGTAGTAGGCATTTAAAATCAATGTTAAGGGTCAAATAAAATATGTATATAAAAAAAAAACAACCGATGATAGGACAAAATGTCTTTTGACATTGCGTGATTTGTTTGCAAAATAGTCTAAATTCCAAAATATGGACTTAAGGTCATTTTTTAGGATGTAAATCGCGTATATTTGTTTTTTTTTTCAAACAAACCAACGTTTCGGGCCCCTTACAATGTCATGGTCACGGCTGATTTGAGACCTGTAAAGGGCCTAAAAGTTGCGATGTTTGAATAAACAAATATACGCGATTTAGATCAGAAAAATCATATGTTTACACAATCGCGAAAACCTAAAGGTGCGTCTACATATCTACGTCATCAAGTGTGGACGCACAATGAGCCTCCATCGATCACTGTCCTCGAGGACAGTGATCGACGTAGCTTTCCGCAGTGTGCACGCGACCCGTGGCAAACATGGACAATTTAGCTAATGCAGCAGCTGCTGCAGCAATTATTATATTATATTATGTTATATTAGGGCCAAGACGAGTGGATTATTTTTGCGAACAAACTTCTTCTGACCACGTGTCCATGATGGTCGGCTCGAGCGAAGCGTCTATCACTAAACACGTCTACGAGCGCACTGCGAGTGCGATGCAAATGCTTTTGTGTTTGTCAAAAAACCGACAATTGGCGGAACGCAATTGAGCACGATCCGAACGGTCGGCGCGCGCTCGTTCGAGCCTCGTAGGTCAGTCCACACTACACGAATTCGTGCTCAGCTCGTGTTCGGCTCGTGCTCGGCTCGTAAGCGTAGACGCACCTTAAGAACTCGATTATGGACTTAAAGATCCTTTATGAGAGGTAAAATCACCTAAAGGCATAATCAATAATAATATGGTATTGAAAATTGTCATGTTAACGATCAGCCACTAGTTTGTCACACATCATTCACAATACTTGTCTAAAAAGAGGTACTATGTTTACATTGATTATTCAGTACATAGGGAAATATGCTGGTGTAAAAGTTTCAACGATTAGTAACAAATCAAATGTTATGTGTTAAATACATAGCGCTGTTCAATTTGGTACAAAAATGAACACAAAAACTATCACTGACATACAATTATGTTATGGATATGCGTGTCGCTTACCACCAGGCGCACGACTTGTTTGTCCCGTCACTTACTACGTGTGCTGAAAATTGGCTGATTAAAAGAGTATTTTCGAATTTTCGTTCGTTACTTTCATTATCTCACTGTGGCAATGAGTATGGCTACGATGGTTACAAATAGGGTAGCGAAGCTCACCGGTGATGCTGTCTTAGTAGCATATCCCGTAGGCTGCGTTGTTGGCTAAAAATTAAAAGGGTCAAATTATTTTTTGTGAATAATCAAATTTCATAGTAACAGACTACTGTCTGTTTTAATATTAAGTTTATTGAATATTACCTTTGTTTATTACCATGATATTTATATATTACTTTTAACCGACTTTCAAAAAAGCAGGAGGTTCTCAATTCGATAGTACTATTTTGTGTATGTTACGCAATTATTTGTGAACGGATTTTGATAATTCTTTTTTTGTTGGAAAGAGAGTACGTTAGTCACATTCAAATTAGAAGAAAATATTTCACCTCTAAGGGTGGCAAACTAGAGGATGAATCCGGTTTCGCGTACTTCCCGGTAATCTATTTCTATAAAACTTGGCAAATAAATGTGATTCCACGAACTTTTGAAGTCGGTTTTTTTTTATAAGTAAGTTATAATTATTATAAAATTTATTTCTAAGTTTGTTATAATTATTAATACGAAGATAGAACACAAAGAAATACTCCTTCGATCCGGCTGGACACGAACCGAACGTCCTCGCCGTACTGTGGCTGAATACTTAAACATTTGTTAAATGCTGAAAGTGGAATCAATTATAAATAATATTTAGTATTATAGAACAAAAGTATTGTATTATGTTCTGTATTTTTCATTAGTAACTAGGAATTATTTTACTACGGTAGTGTATATGTGGAAAAAAAATCACATTGTACGTAAAAATATAATCATTAAATTTTGGGAAGCGCAAGGAAAAAAAACCGGCTATTTCATTAACATATTATTTTTACTTTCCCTTTAATTTAATCAAAGTTGCTTGTCCTCGGTTTTCCCCTTGCTGCATGCATCGATTTTTCCTTCTGTCATGTTTTCAATAAAAGATTGTATCACACAAGTTGGCCCCACAGGTTTATTCATCCATTAGCTATGGTATTCATCAAACTTTAACACTTGCACATTTGTAAATCTCGTTGTGTTACTTATTAATTATGTGTTTTTAAAAACATATTTTTTAATTATCACTGGGAACGCCGATCAAAAACAATAGGACAAATGATAGACTTAACCTAACCTAATATATGAAGAATGCTTTGTGTTTGAAATTAGCATTTTTGTTTTAGTATTTGTTTGCTCAACAGTTATTGTATTTAGTATACATACACACAAAATTCCTTTAATGACATGCATGCATAGATTAACAAAAATTATCAACTTAACAGGTATTAAGTATACGTACATGCTCAAGAGCGCTTGTGATGGTTGTACAGGTTGTACAAATTGTAGGCACTGGCGAAGAGGACACGTATGGCTTCGCTATAGGAGTACCCTGAGGTAGCCCGTTCCAGAATAAACGTTCATTTCTCCTGTTAATAAAGAATTATTGTATAGCAATAATAAAATGCAGGCTGTCTTTATGTTTTAGGAGTTCGGTTGAAAATTGGATACGAGATGAAAAGATACAAAAAATATTTGTACCTTAGGATGAGGCAGATGAATGCAATCTTGTGATTTGTGAGTCGCGTTTTTTGAGTCGCTTACTTAATTTACGCTGCATTTCGGTTTCATATAAAATTTCCATTTGTGCCACACGATGACGAAAAATGAGTTGTCTGCCGACTCATGTACGCAATTACGATCGAACTTCGGCCTCACTGTTTGACGTGCTTGTACCGGTGGAGAGAGGGGTGAGGGAAACAAATGCAGAGTAGTGTCGTAAAATTATACATTCCATAAATTTTACTGCACGTCACAATTGACATCAATGTACAGCAATTAGCTTCTTCAACGTAGTTATGAATTAATACGAGCAGACAAACGTCAAAACAGCCATCATAGCGTGCCTGTACCAGAGAACGAAAAAGTAACGAGAATGGACACTCTCCGGCCCTTCCTAGATTTATACCGCACTACGCCCCGCGCATTGACGGTCACATTGACTAAACGACAGCAAGGTGCCGGCGGGCCGTTTTCGCGCTAAGATGACTTTGATATTTCACTATAGTTTTTATATATTCATTACGAAATCTGTACGTTAACATTGTACGTTACTATTTATAATGGTCGTGGATTGTGCTGTGTATGGCTGTTTTCCGAAAGATGAAACGAAGATGAAAAAAACTTATGTCTGAGACTCATTCAGCTATTGTTTTCTTCATTATTTAGTGCAGAGTAATATATAATACAGATTTCAATATAATGAGACGCCATAACTTCGAGAGCTAGTAGACAAAGGTTGTCGAATTTTCAATTTGTATTGCTGATAAATATTACGTAGTGAACATACCCGAAAATTAACTAGGTAATGATAAACTTGGACACGCAATTTCAAATACCTTGGTTACCTTTTTTTAAAGGACCTGTCCAAAATACAATGTATAATATTGACGATTTATTTAAAATATATATTAAAAAATATATATTTTAAATAAATCGTCAATATTATTCTAGTTAGTGAATTAATGAAAAATATAATATTATATCGATACCTAATGAGCAGGTGTAATTATTAGGATTCTATTACTAGAATTAAAATTAAAATTAGAATTAAAGATAACATCTCAATCACAATTAAATTTAACATTTTATGAATAAATCTCAGTAATAAATTAATAACGGATCAATTACTGATTGGGCCCTTATTTTGGAAAAGCAGCGATATGTCGAGTAAAGTATATTTATAACGTAGGCGTAGTTACTTAATTAAATTTACCTAAAGGTTCCATTTTAAATTCAGAATGTTACATTGTTTCTTTGTTCTCTTTGAGTTTCTGTAAGTCGTTCGACATAACAATTTGATTTAAAAATGAAAAAACTTACTGTTTTCTCTCAGCGATAACCTTTTCTTCTGCTTCGAAGGAGTTAAAAGCGTATTTTTCGAAGTTTCTGTCTTTATCATAAAGCACTTGGAAACAAGTTTCACGAGTGTCGGCATCCCATCTGAAATTGTTTTTATTATTTTTGGTAACTTGAAACTTGAAATTTATTTTTTATAGTACACCAACAATACCAATTACCTGCAGGGCTAAAAAGACCGCATTAGCAGAATCGTAATATGATTAATTGACAATACATATCATGAATTTCTTACATATTTCGCCACTCAGTTAGGTAACTTTACAGCTACCAGCCCTGGCTAGAGATGTCGCTATTAATTGTAATTAAATTCACTTACTTTTTCCTTTGCAATTGATGTCCACGATTATCGGCGAGCATATCTTGGATGCATTCTGGTAGTAATATAGCACACGCTAGCTCGGTGACCTTGCTTCGGAATATCCGAGCTGAAGCCTGTTGCTCTATTTCATTTCTTAGACGGTGGTATGTTTTGCTTACTTTTTCCTCCATGAATTTCTGTTGACAGCAAATTAATAATTGATAAAAAAACTTAATGATTAAGAATGTACCTTTACTTGAAATAAAATACGGGATTGACAAATAGGTACAGGAATTGTTAAGCAGATTATTATTTCCGAAATGAATAATTTAGTAATTAGGAATTAAACTCAAATCATCTTCATTTCTCAGGTAAGCAAATTACATTTGAAATCGTCATACTGATTAAACTCTACTGCTCATTCGTAAGGCAGATTCCCCGAGAAGATTGAGCAAGGCATAGGGGTTGCTCATATACATTTTAATCAAAATATCATTTACAATATTTATTTTAAACATCTTAGATCGAGACTACCTGTAAGAGCTAAACGGGTCACTACCATGGATATTTGTCATCCAAATAATAATAATAATAACGCACACACTCAACATAGCCCCGCACTAGGGAAACCCTGTGTCGCGGGTGCCATGGACACACAAATAGACAACCACAAATTACACCCAAACTCACGAGAGAAATAAATGTAGGCCATACAAATATTTCTCCCGGCCCGGGGACCTCTGCGTGGCAGTCCGGTATGGTAACCGTTCGGCCACGGAGGCAGTTAATTAAGTACGTAGCAGCTGTATAATAAAATAAAATAAAATAATGTAATAACGTAACATCAGGTATAACAAGATATTAAAAATAAATAGGATATTAAACTAGGACAGTATGCATATAACTATACTCCTGGACTTAGCGGAACGCTAAAAAAGGTTGAATGTATGATAACAATGTTTTTGTTATTATTATAAAATATATAAGTGCGCATTTGACCTCCATCTCACCAGGTGCAAAGTGACGATGAGGTCGACGATGAAGCATGCACACCTAAATAATGCCTATTAATTCTCGCCTTGAAAAGGCCCCAGTTATAACGTTCAGGGAATAAGTCTGCAGGCAGGGAATTCCACTCAATAGCCGTTCGCCATATTAATGTGGAAGCATAACGCTTCGTGCGAATGTTTGGAATATCCACAATATTAGGGAACGCAAGCCTACATCTAGTCCCCCGGTGATGGAAAGGGGAAGGCGGAATTAAATTGTCTAATTCCACTGGCCATATATTCCAGAACGTTTAATCGTAATTAAGAGACGGTTAAAGGCATTTTTTTTTTGTATGTGTGACCAGTAATTCCTATGAACATTGTTATCATAATTCAACCATTCAAATTAGTAAAGCTCCTTGTGAAAGAGTTCGTCCAGGGAAGTACGACCAGCTTACCTACTTCTGTCATCAAGCAGTAATGTGAGCATTACTGCGTTCCAATTTTGGTTCCAAAAAAGGGTGGTGGTGAAATTACAGGCACATGTAACTTATAAATTTTTGTCTCTTAGGGTGTCGAGTGCAGTGGCATTGTCCCTCAGATCTTTGCAATTTAAAGGTATGTCTGTTTGGCACTGTAACTACTATGGACAGGTGTGTCACTTACACTTACTTATTAAAAAGAACCTCTAAATATGTCCTTCAGTGTGTTTCTTCACATAAATGAAAATAAAGGATTGTGCTCTCATGGGTAGGTTACATATTATTAAATAAGTGTTATTTTTTATAAAACATATCTTAGAAACCGGACCCTCTAACCGATCATTTAGTTCTGAGTAGATAAGTGTGAAGATGATGTTAAACAAAAACTTTAACCTGTGAGCCATTTTGATCTTTAATTACATAACACAAAGACAAATTTCAACCATAAAGCTTTTCTTTTTTTCTTTTCATTTTTCTGTTGAATGCGTAAGAAGACTCTCAGAACCAAAAAGTCGGTTAGGGGGTCAGGTATCTCAAGGCATACACAGTACCACATAAAACTAACACACCTGCCAATATTCATACAAATATCTGTCCAAATGGCGATTAGCCTCTTTCTCCTTTAGCATTTGATAACCGTTGAGAACGGCGTCCCAAACAATAGCACTTGTCTCCTGGTCCAAATAGTCCAGAATTTGCTCCGCTTGAAACAGGTCTATGTCTCCCGCCATGTACAGAGCAAATACATCGTCCACTATCTGAAAATTATATAAATAACAATATTAACAATGTACCAGTCAGATTCGCGTCAATTCGTCTGAAACTAGAGAATTCCGTGTACCATTGTGTACCAGAGCAACGGAATTCACCCAGGGGCGCTACTCAGAACACCGATATGAGAACCAATTTAGAAAAATTCGTTTCCAAATCAATTCGACCGGGAACCGTAACCGGGATTTCTTTGTCCCACTGCTTCCGTGGCCGGTTACCATGCTGGTCCCGCGTTCGATTCTCAGGCCGGCAGAAATATGGCTCTATTCTCGTGAGTTTGGCTGTAATTTGTAGTTGTCTATATATGTGTGTGTGTTGATGGCTACGCGATACAGGGTTTCCTTAAGGGCGGGGCTGTGAGTGTGTGCGTTATTTATTTTTCCAGCAAGAACAGTGCAAACCATTCGACCGCCGAGGTCATCTTTATGCTAATTACAATAAGTTTGGTATTTTCTGTGTATCGGTAATCGCTGATTTTTGATGTACTAAGAGAAAATTAATTTGCAATAAGTTTTCTTAATGTCTTCTATAGTGTATTCAATAAGTATTAGTGGCGATTACTTAGCTCGTTTACCGCATCCGATTCATATTCGTTCCGAATCCGAGATTACACAAATCTAGAAAACTCGAACCCACTTTGGATATCGCTTGAGTTTGGAATATAACAAAAGACATACCTGTGCTCTGTTTTGCTCATCAACTGCACGATAATTTTCCTTTAAAGTTTTCGCAATAAGCTGCCATGTGTAGCTATCGTAATTGACGCGATAGTAACCTGAAATAATAAATATCACACATTTTATCTTCAAAAACAAAGTAACAAATAACATTTACAATAAATTTGTGAGCCACTATTCTTAAACCGCACGGCATAACCTTGAACAAAAATAAAATGAAGTACTAAAATAAAATGATGTGTAAGGTCAGTTGCAAATTTTTTTATGATATTTAGAAGCTGTGAAAATATCTTGCTGAAAGATGAAATGCATACAACAGCGACCGGTAAAGATAAAACTATTATTGCAGAAAAGTGTATAAAGAATAGAGTCACGGTTAACGATTAGGTAACAGCTAATGTTTAAATAAAAATTACCAGAAGCATTTCTGTTGAAAATGATCCAGCCTCCAGTAAGACTTTCTTCGAAGGTATAAGTTTGACTCCTCACTAGAAGTCTTGCTTCGTCACAATTTATACAATTTTGTTTATTCTGCACTATATATGAAATCGGGATCAGGAAATGAGAGTCGAAGCGATGATTGTGGTTGAAGTTGAAGCGTTGCTAAAAAAACATAATACCTAATTCGTTAAACGCATAGGAGGTGCTGCATGGCTAAAAATATTTTTTTTATTCATCGTCATCATCAGAAACCTCGTCCCACTGCTGGGCACGGATCTCCTCTCAGACAAGGGCTTACTAGGAGACTTTACACTTTTTCCGAGGGTTGTGAACCATGTTCGACATGTAGGTTTTATCACGATGTTCTCCTTCACCGAAAGCTCATGGGAAATTTCGTTTTAAATTAGAACTCAGAGGTGTGCGCTCGGATTCGAACCCACGGCTTCTGCTTGAGAGACGGTAGGTCAAACTATTAAGCTACCACGGCTTCTTTCTTTAATTAACACATAAAATGTTTGAGAGCAAATCGATACTCATCCTTAAAGTTCTAAAACACGTGATGAAGTTACTCAAAGGCAAACTTAAAACAAACACAAAAAAACACGACAAAATTATGAATCTTATATACCGACACCGTGAAGTAATTGCTAAGAACTACTGCTTCAACATGTCGGTATAAGAATTGATAAAATCACTTTTAAATTCTACATTTCTGCTTCAAAGTAAATGCAAATTCCATAATATTAATAGAATATTTATGCAGATTGAATATGAATGTATTCAAGATGTGTATTTGTAGTGATGAGTGTAAAATCCGCCTGCGTAGGTGCTATTGTCACAATGTGTTCCGGATTGAAGAGCAAGAAGCTGGTGACTTAGACAATTGCGATGAGGATACCTTCTTAAGATCGCAAAAATTTTATACGTAAAAGTTACTATGTTCCATTAGGTTGGAACGCCAGAGTATTTGCCGGTTTATATAATATTTAAAATTTTTTTTCAAAGCAGTGGTTTTGCTTGGACAGTTGTACGACACATAGACATCTCTCAAGATACGGCCTAAGCCCGTTAATGCATTCAAAACGATCAGTGAATATTCTGGGCTCTACATGAGGTTTTATGGTAGGACCAATTTAGGGAAATCGGTTAGTATCATAAAGAACAATGGCGAAATAATTGTCCTTCTAAGAATTCTTTAGCGTCTTCAAATATCATAATTATGAATTTGAATAAAATAAATTAATTATGTTTTTTAAGCTATACTACAGGCCTGTCGAAGTTTGCCAATAAAATCATATTTAATTGAAACTTAAATGACTAATTAATATCTAACCTAGACCGATATGTACAATTGCCAATTTCTTAATTCCTAAACATTAAGCGAAATTTAATCGCCAAAAATATCGATGGTTTCGTTCACATTAAGTTAGTTCATGTAATCATGTAATATCATCATGTCATCTCTAATACTAACTAGTTTGTTACAGAAAATTAAGTAGGGAATTCCTTTTCCAAATATACCACGCGAAAAAGTGGACAATAAAGTTTTCGATTTCAGGGATAGATGGCATGTTCCACAAAACATAACTAGGGCGCGCATTGATCTACCAAAGGGCGCGTGGTAGATAAGTATTAACTCATTCTCCTTTTTTATGGCTTGACTTCATGCCTTTTCATTATACCTTATAAAAAATATTTTCCTGTAACTTTCATCCAACCAATACAAACAAACGGCACCAGTCAGCTTCTATTAACTCTGACTAAGGTGCTTACTTGTTGTACTTTATTTTGATATAATAATACACCGAATACATTTTATTCAATTATGTAAAACATAAATTCGAAAACTTAAAACAGGAATATCTCTAATTTTTCGACTTCTCAGAATAGTAAATCTAAAAGCATAGACCCTAATAAATTAGGTCAACAAAAATTTGTATGGGCGTTCGCCATTGTTCTTTGCTTCATTTGTACTCCCGGTACAAGATATTCCTTACTTAGAGACCAACAATCCTATGGCGCAATTATTTATTACTCGTGAGTAGTTCAGTTACCTGTTTCAATTGAATTACTTCAGGATTCCGGTCCCTAAATACATTGACATTAAGTACGGGATAACCAGCCTCGCTGAACCAAGTACTCATGGTGGTAGATGCTAAAGTACCGTTCAAAAGTTTCATACACTCCACTGCCTCTTGGTCTAAAAATTCCAAGAATCCTAGGAAACTCATTGCTTTACCACGTCTGAAATGGAAGACGAAAATTGTTAAACATTTCATACCATTGGTATAATAAAGTCATATATGATCATACGTCAGAAGTGCTTTTATCACAAATGAAATATTTAAAAATAAGAAGTACGTGAAACAAATTGCGTGCATAAGACATTTTAAAAATACTTCGGAATCTTCGCGTTGCATTGTACTAACATCTGAAAACGGGAATAAACTCGTGTAAACACTAATACATATTCTCACACCTACTTGTTTTCGATCAGGTTGGACTGGGTGTGTCATGGGCTGACCGGTGATGCGTTGTTACATTTCATCTCGGCGGTGGAATCTTCATCGACCCTCGCTATGTTTTTCAAAAATACCGCCACCCACTACCACAATACTAGCGGTGTCCTTATTCTGTACCGAAGCGTATTCTGGTACGCTGCCGATCGCTAGAAAGGTATTGAGCTTTTGCAAACACCGAATTCCATGCTGCAGGTATCTTGAAACCATCTTCCCGATTGAAATTATTTCAACCTGGCCGAAACGTCGGAAAAATAGGTAGGTGTGAAAATACCTATTAGTGTTTAGAATCTTTAAAAGTTGTCATTTTGCAGATGTGACGTTATTAAACTAGGCATGCGTTTTTTTTAACTGTAAAATTCATTCTATACAATTATAAGCCATCAGACTTGTTTACAGACATTTACCTTAAGTTAACATATTTAACTAAAGCCTTATGAAACTTGTCGGAACCAATCCAGTCTTCAAGCATCCAAAGTAAAGAAGCAGTTTTATGCGCTATCAAAGTTCTGTATCGAAGACCGTGTTCAATCATGAGAGTATGATTGAAGGAAGTCAGTGCTGGTACGCTATAATAACTGTCTTCCTGCATGGCTTTAAATCTCATGTGGAGTCCGTGGTGACGGATGGGCACGGCATGTTGCAAGGATTGACCATTTTGCTGGTACTGTGAATACGATAATTACGAAAAGATAATTTTTTTATAAAAAAAAGAACGTACTCAAAAGTTAGCTTATACGTTTTCGCTGTGTTTTATTTTCATTGGAATTACATCCATGTGTCAATTTAAATTCATTAAAGAGGATTCGTCTCTAATTTGACACCCTTAGAGGTGGAATATTTTCTGCAAATTTGAATGAAACTACTACGTAGATAAATGGAATAAAAATACCTATTAATGTTTTTTTTATTGCCGCCATCGAAAGGGAATTAAATAAAATTGGAGTTAATGATAAAAATACAGATCTTATTAAAAAAATCAACAAGAAAATACAGTAATTAAAAATCACTGTAATAATGACATCATTTACAATGATTCAGATAGCCTGGACAATTTTTGCTTGTTCAGTCCATACTTTTATTCAATTTGTTACCACCTGGTAACATATGGGTTTTTTTTCATTTGTCGCCTGTGGAAATCACCACTGGCAACAACTGAGATTTTTTATCCCGTTTGTCACCACCTGGTAACATATGGGCTTTTTTTTCTATTTGTCGCCAGTGGAAACAAATCCACTGGTGACCACTGGGAATAAGCGAAAATATTTATGTAGGTGAAATTCCTTCCTACCTTTTGAAGTCGGTTAAAAATAAGTGATTCATTTCAACGCATATTCGATTACTTCCTAGTTTTACTACATAAGTGTAATAGCAATATAATCTCTTTATTTCTATTTTTTTATAATCTCTTTCCATAGTTGAAAATATAACTTTTATTCTTACCTGAGTCCAAAAATAGTAAGCCAAATAAGTTGCCAGTCCCTCTTTGAACCACTCTTCTCTCCACATAGACGGTTGGGATTCACCGGGGTTTCCAAGCCAAATCCTGCTCAATTGTTGCACGAGCTCAAAGGTCATCCGCTCCTTTTGCTTGATGCTTGTAAATTCATCGACGTGCATTAAATGTACCTCGCTGTTAAAGTACAATTATTTTAATTGTTTTTGAATTCATTTTCATTATAATTATAGGCGCCTATGCAATTCTTTCGTCGAAATTCATCCTGTTACATATTTTCATAAAATTGGATTGTAAAACTTTTAGGGGACAATATTTCCGTAAGAATCTAAATATTTTTTTTTTGCGAAAGAAAGGGAAGATTACTTAGTAAAAATGAAAAAAAAAAACAGTCTTTTAAAGACTGGCCGGTTATGTTCCTTTTTTATTATGAATAAAAAAAAATTAAAAAAAAAATAAATTAGCTGAATGTCAGTTTTTGTCATTCATTTGTTTTTTATTTCCTAGTGTAATTAATTTCATGTTTGTCGTGCAGTTCGAGGGCGATTTTATGTTCTTGTACATTTTGTCAACTTTATTTGAAAAAGATTTTTTATTTGTCAAACTTCGTATTAATTAATGTAACACTGTTACAATTCGTAAATTCTCAACCGTTTCTGTTACAGTACAAAACGTTAAAAAAAGTGTGTGTTTTTATTTCCATATTTTCAATAAAGGTTGACTAAGGTTATACATTGTCGATGTTAAAAAATGTTAACGTAATTGTTGCATTATGCCTAATTATTACTTTTGGAATATTCATTTCACGTTACTATTTTACATTCTGACTTTTTTGTTCCAAAAAAATATGTGTGTGTATCTTCTCTTATACCTTTGTGTCGATTCTCACATGCAAGATTATTGTGAGGAGAAACAACTGTTGCTAAATTTGTATGACCTCGCCAAATAATTCGTACCAACAATATTTTAATCTGTACATTTCATGTGCGCAAGCTATGATGACACGATGACCTACAACGCGCAATAAGTATTCAAGATTAGCGTCTTATACAAAATCACCTAGTGTAAAAAAATATCTTGGTCGTAATTGAGCGCGTAAATATACGAAGATCCACAAGAAACCCAATTTCTTCCAAAGAAATACGAGGAAGTGCTCTATACATTTTTTTACAACATCAAGCAACGTTTATCCATGACAGTTTCAGTGCCACTCAAATTTTCAGTGCCACTCAAAGTTTCAAATCACATAGAACTAAGACCCTGAGACTCTTTGACAAGTCCTATGTGCCTGTAATTTCATCGGCACCCTACCCTTCAAAGCCGAAATGCAGTAAAGCTCATATTACAGCTTGGCGGCAGAGATAGGTACATACGAAGAAGCGAATTACCTTACAGACTGTAGTTTCTTTAATATTGTCAATTGTGTAGGTGCGCACAATCCCTTATGCGTAAATATCTAAACACTAAGTATTCAAATTGTTATTATTATTGATACAAAGTTCGAACACAAAGAAAAATTCCTTCGATTCGACTGAACTGACTGTAGCCACGTTAAGGCAACATACATTGTTCGCGTTCGATCAATAATAATAACAAATTAGTAGGCGAGTATTATCACTAAAACTAGATGAACATCATGATAGTGTAAACATGATATTAAAAAAAATATTCAAATTATACTTACTCATTAGTTAAAAGATTCCAGCTTCCAATTTCATATCCATCCAGTCTACTTGGAACTGAGACAATATTGATAGGTCCAAGAACCAAAGGTCTATTATCGTTGGCGTATTCGTGTATCAGCTTTAGCATCTTGTCAGTGTAACGCAAGATAAAGTTATGGGCCCTTAATTTATTTTTAGGGGCCCAAATGAAGACAGTGTCATTGGTTCTAGTGCTGGAGACGGATATGTAGGAGTAATCTGAATAATGGAAGCCCAGCTGGTGTAGTTTAATTTGTGATGATGGAAGATAGTCTATAATGACTCTGTTGCCATGACTGAAAGAGAGAATAAATCGGAATCCAAATATATATTCTATTATCACAGTAGCTATGATTGTAATATCAAGTTTTTTTTTATTATAATTTGATGAATTTGGAGAAGAAAACGTCCTTGTACGAGGCGTGTTTTTAAAGTAGTACCGTTTTGGAATTCAACCGCTGGCTACAGCGCTGCGATTGGCATCCGCGTATGCACACTTTGTACTTACATCTGTTGGCAAGCCACTGACGCAATAATGGCAACTGTGTGTTTTTATTTGTTTATGCGTATTTAATATGCCTCTGTGAAATAGGCGCTCTGATTCATTTTCTTAGTGTTAAAGGTGTGAAAGCGATTGAAATTCGTCGTCAGATCTGTGAACTGTATGGACAAACCATTATGAGCGATGAATTGGAACGGAAATGGGTTAGAGCTTTTAAAGGTGGTCGCCAGAATGTTCATGACGAGGAAAAAAGTGGACGAAATCTGTCATTACTGAATATTTGCTGCGGAACTCATTCTCCATATAATCCTGCGATGATGTCAAAATGGCTGTGTTGCGGTGGATGTCAAATCATGCGGCAGATTTCTATGACGACGGAATTCAAGAGCTCGTTGTACGATTCGATAAGTGTCTTAATTTTAGTGGTATTATGTAGAAAAATAGATTAAAGTACAGGCTTGCATCTAATTTTAAAATTGATAGAAATAGTGGAGTTTTTTTTTAAATTTCAAATTGAGTACCGACTCATTTTAAAAACACGCCTGATATCTTTGGTAATTACGTTAAGTATTTATGTACGTATGTATGGCAAGTATTTATCATATACACATGTGATAGAAGTAAAAAGTTAACGAGTAACACGAGTAACGAATTGGTAATATGCATTTTAAGACCATTTGTATGGTCTTGGTCTATTTATGGTCAAACTGTAGAAAAACCAGTAGCTCGTGAGGACTTTCTAAGTGCGACAAAAATAGTCAAGTAACGTATAAACTGGAAGATAAATCTATTGACACGTTTTCACGTACGTTTTTTATAAAGTATTTTTATTAGCTAGTAATAAGTAAAATTGACAACTCAAAAATAAATACTACAATAATAACGTGGCAGACAACCACACCAATAACAAATTGGTTCGACCAGGATCCGAAACCGGGATCTCCTCATTCAGCGCCCACAGTTCCTCCAAGTCAACCACTAAGGTCATCACCCTACATACAAATTTTGTAAACAGAGATCGTGGTTTGAATGTCTCAAATATTGCTTTATTGTGAGTCATTTAGAAAAAACGCTATGAAAATTTATTCTCGTTCTAAAATAGCGTATATTTGTTTTGTTTTCAAACAAACCAACAACGTTTCGATTTTAATTCCCGAAAGAATATTTTCATTTTCAATGTGTAGCAATCACGGAAATGTACTCGTATGTACCTACTCGATACTGTGACTCATATTATTTTGACACTGTGGAAAACTGTTAAAGCACGACGTCCTGTATTCGTTTCAAGACCGTGGCTATATTCAAGATCAAACCTTGTTTGCACGTTTAACTATATGTAATAGTCAATGTAGCTTTCATAAAAATTATGACATGTGTCGTTTTTTGTGTTGATAGGAAAGTTTTCTCCCGTAAAAGGAGCTGACGCTGATTGTAGACGCTGAGAATTGTGTCAATTACGACGGCGCGTGATCGCTCCTTAATATGGAAGTTGCCTTAATGATTGCATTTGTAGAAAATTTCTACGAATAATGATTAATGTAAATGCTGTTGGAAATAGTAAGTGCAACGAATTTTAGATAAATAAAACTCAATTTACAGGGATGCTGATAAACAATAACGTGTCAATCCACATTTATTTATTTACATAACTCTATGCACTTATAGTTTCCCAAAACGTACATAGATTAAGAAATACGAAAATAAGATTTTTAAAAATACAGAATAAAAATTGCAGACATAGACTTTTGTTACATGATCATAGTTTTACGAAAATGGGACCTGAATGGTTTTTTCGTTGATTTTGATAGTTTGTTCTTACTGGACTTATTATTATAATTCCCCAACAAAAATAAGCACAATAACAAAAGTTTTCATTTTAGAAAATTTTTAAATGAAATATCTAAAACAACGAAAATATGTTTAAGTGTTATTTTCGTAAAACTATGTACTATAGTTTATAATTTATAATTATGTACTATATCATGTTGGTTGACTCATTATCGCTTATTAGCATCCCGTTACAAATTACAAAACTACATATTACCTAAACGATGTACGTGAATTATGCGAGCAGGGTACATTCCCATCTAAACTTAAAACCACCATAATTAAACCACTTTATAAAAAAGGTCAAAGTGACACTATGAAAAATTATAGACCTGTAGCTTTGATACCAATATTTTCGAAGATTGTTGAAAAAGTGATTTTTAATAGTATTTATAATTATTTTGAAATAAATGACATATTTTGTAACGAACAAAAGGGTTTTCGCAAAAATAAATCCATCGAACTTGCAATTTATGAATTTTTGAATATTATTTATAGTAGAATGGACATGAGACAACCAGTAATGGCACTGTATATGGAGATGTCAAAAGCTTTTGACTATGTGGATCACAACATATTATTACAAAAATTAGAAATTTATGGTATACGCGGTAATACTCTAGAATTAATAAAATCATATCTGAGCAATAGAACACAAATAACACAAATTAGTAGAATTTCTTTAAAAACAAAAATCGAAGGTACGTACGAATCTTCTCCAAGAACTGTGAAGTACGGAGTGCCGCAGGGCAGTATACTCGCCCCATTGCTATTTATTATTTATATTAATGATATGCCTACATCGATTCCAAATCATATGACTTTATTCGCTGACGATTGTACTATTATATTTGAGATTGAAAATGAAATATATGACTCCCTAGTAAATGTAATGACATGGCTAAAATCTAATAATTTATTACTAAATTTTGACAAAACAATGATTATGAATTTCAAGCAGAGAGGCGACAACTCTCTGACAAACAGAATAATTTATAACAACCATATCATAGATGAAACAAATTAGACCAAATTCCTGGGAATCTACATAAATAGGAAAATGCAATGGGAAGAGCAACTTCAAGTAATATGTAACAAACTATCGAAGCAATCATATGCTCTTTTTAAATTGTCTAAGGTGGTTAATAAAAACGCTTTACTTGTGGTTTACCACAGTTACGTAGCTGCAACACTCAGATATGGAATCTTATTTTGGGGTAACGCAAGTAATATAATACAAGTTTTTCGAGCTCAAAAGAGATGTATAAGGGCAATTTGTGGCCTAAAACAGACCGACAGTTGTAAAAATTATTTCAAAGAGTTAAAAATTCTGACTTTGCCATCCATGTATATTTATGAAACCGCCTTATTTATACGACATCACCCGGACCTTTTTCCCTTGGCCACACGAGCACGTCGTCTAGGCCAGCTACGCGAAAGAATTTGTGGAACTGCATTGCTTCAAAAAAGCATGTTCGTAATGGCACCTAAAATCTATAATAAATTGCCATTACAGATCAGGCAGAGTGACACTTTCGACGAATTTAAACGCAAATTATTTAACTATCTTATTGAAAAAACATTCTACTCCCTGGAGGAATTTTTGTAATTTTATTAATTTATAAAAGACATGACTGTGTATTGTAATTGATAACGTATTTTAATTTATTGACATTTGTTTAATTGTATCACTTTATTTTTAAATTTAAGATTACCTTGGTTTAATTTAATAATGTATAATTAGTTGGTCAATGTAATGTGATTTTTATTAATAATGTTTCTTTGAGACTCTACATTTCGTATGCCTTGATGGTACGTCATGGAGATCAATATTTTAAACGTTAACATCTGTACTGTTACACCCATGATGACGAATAAAATGATTTGATTTGATTTGATTATGATTTTATATGCAATTAATAAATTCAAGCGGTACTTTGCAGAAATTTATGTTATTAAAAATGGAAGTAAATTAGTTTGCAACTTTGCGAACTCAGTGACGGTTATAACGTACAAATTCGCAGTGCTTGTAATATAAAAATATAATATGTGTCCGACAAAAACACCAATTGTCTTATCTCAAACTAGGGAATTCCTTTTACTATGACTACCAGAGCAACGGATTTCTGGGGCACTTCCCAGAACTTTCCGAACCAATTTGGGAAGTTCATTTCCCAAACTGATCCTACCGGGAAACGTACTCGGGGCCTCCGCATCCAGCGCTCACAATGTAAGCCATTACTTAGGACACTGAGGTCGTCTTGTGTTGACTTTTTTTTATGCAATAAAACAAATAACACAGACGTAATATTTCAATAATTTTATGCGTGGCGAGGTTGGGAAAGATATGTGAAAAAAACATACAACATAAGCGCAGCTATTTTGCACGATTTAACTAGACTTGTGGAGCAGCAAAGTTATTTCCATTTTTATTGTATCGCTGCTTTTCAAGAATAAGCTAAATAGTAATTTTCAAAGTTAATTAAGGCGCGCTGTATTCAGAACATGTTATATTTAATTGTGAATAATACACTGAGCTTGCTATTGGTTAAAACAATCCCGAGACTACATTTACAGCCTTAGAATTTTTTAAACCATCTTTGTTAATAAAGTTTTTGAGATAGGCCATTATTTCTTGAAAGCCATGGATATGGATTTACAAACTCCAAAATGGTATATGAAATCATTTTAAATAGGTGTTGTCTTACTCATCTAGTTTGGTGTTCTCCGAAGCAATAGTGAGACTGGTATTGGCGCGCTGGTAACGGGCGCTGTTGGTCATGATCACCTTGATCTTGAATACAGACTCGAAACGCGGGTTGTCGAAACAGGGAACGAAGTACTTCGCTCGGTCCGGCGAGGGACGAGTTACGAAGAGATACCTGAAATCGATAATCAATTAATTGTTATCTCATTTGAATTACAATTATAAACTTTGTATGTATACAGCATAAGGGCGCCTTCAAATTAGACTTATAGGTTTGGATACAATATTTAGGTACAACTATTTCATATACTAGTACACGTAGGTTGATGTTATACATACAGATATCTACAAAAAATATAACTTTTTTGCAAGCTTGTATATGTACATAATGTACATACGTATCAGAGACTTAGGTTCGTATTCCAGAACTCTACTCAATACTCAAGTCAGGACTTGAGTATTGCAGTGAGCACTGAAAATCATACTCAAGGCCTTGCCATTAGGGTCGTATTTCCAGTGCTTGAAATCATACTCAAGTCTGCTCAAATCCTGACTTGAGCATTGAGTAGAGTTCTGGAATACGACCCTCAGAACGAGTTAGGAACGTTCAATCGTGCATCCCATTCAAACTTGTACTAAAAGTAGTGAAAGATCGCTGTTTCTGCCGTTAGCACCGTTCCTACTGTATAAAAGACAGATGAACTATCAACGCAGATAGTTCCTAGTTCGTACTGAACTAAAAAGAATGATGAACTATTAAAACCGTGCAAGACGAACTAGTTCATGTCAGTCTGTGTAGGGAATATATTCTTAATAGTTCGTAGTTCATGAACTATGCAAGCCTAGCGTTAGTGCCGCTTTCATTGTTGCCGAGTGTAGTCATGTGCGCAACGTGACCCTCAACATGTCTCAAGTGTGGGGAAAGTATACCGTGATGTTACTTATAGAACTTTAACAGAATCATGAATTGTTGCTGGATACGGCAAATTGTGATTAGCGTGAAAGGCTTGCAAGGATATTCAAAGATCACGTAAAATATTAATTCTTCTTGCTCGTTGTAGTAAATAATTCCTCATCCACCACCTTCTCTTTCGCTTACGTTTCGCTAAACTATCCGAAATAACTATGTACGTAGCACTAATCGCCACAAACTCCTCGGCCGACATTTCTATAAACACTAACAAGCGTATATTAGGTCTGCAAAATGTTCCGAGACATTGTCCACAGGGCATTTCATGTAGTTGTTGAGCGCCGTGTTGCGCAACATATCGCTCGATTTGTCCCCAAGTGTATCTAAGGCTTATAGAAAAGCTTCAGTGGCGCGCATTGTAATTTTTAGTTCACAAATTGTGACTGCAAAAATGGCGCGCGCGTGTGACGACAGTGGTTCTGCAACTAAATATGTATTGTATGAACATTAGTAGAGGCGTGGCTGCAGCGCCTGCAGCTCTTCTATAAGCGCCTAATTTGAAGGCGCCCTTATATTACTCCTGTTTAATAAAAAAAAAAAACAAGAATAAAATGCACAACGATTCGGTAAAATATGAATAGGCTATGCATTTATAGTTTAAAAATCGTAGACTCAAGAGTATTCTCAATAGCACATCAAGCTATATACACTTTTGTTGAAACATCGCCTCCAGTGCTACTGATCAAGATCCGTCAATGAGTAGTTTGATGCGCTGCCGACTGTACTTTGGACTTTGGATAATTCTTATCACAAGCGATATAGAGTTGAATTTAAATCAAGCGTGATATGCTCTTGACCCTATATCTTATATAATTATTTGTATTTTTTCACACATTAAAGAATTTGTATTAAAATCACTTTAATAGATTTTAGGGATCTTATGTCATTTACAACCACGCAAACCTCAAACGCGATGTTGCTAAGTTGTTAATCTGTATTCCGTATTCGGATATCGTAATCCGCGACAAAAAGCTGTCTGATAGTGAACTTGATGCCCACAGTCGACGTCTGCGCACGCACAAGGACGATTACATTTTAACGGTGCCGACCTACACAACGACGCATGTGTGCGTGTACGTCGACCAAGTAAACATAATAATCATAAAACATTGTATTTTTCAAAGCTGCGAATGTGATTATAACATGTTATGTATAGTTATACTCGTTGTGCCATTCTGTATGTTTGCAAAATTTTGTCTGTCTTAGTCTTATTTGTATTGGTCTTAAAGACAGAATGCCGTACAGTGTAGTAAGAGAGCGTTGTGGTATGAAAGATGAAGTAGTGACCAGGATAGAGGGGGCTGCTTTGATAGTCGTTTAGAAAGAATGAATGTTGGTAGATTGATGGCACAAATTTATAGAGCGAATGTGGATGGAGGCGTGGGGAGAGGTAGACCTCGGCGTACGCATCTCAATTAGATAGGGAAAGTCCTTAAAAAAGGCCAGGTTAAAAACACCAGGAATAAACGGGCAAGTATGAAGAGGTTGGTGGGAGTGAAGGAGGCGAAATAGGTTTGTCAGGAGCGTAGTAGGTGGACATCCATAGCCTACCCCGGGTGGGAGACAGACGTGGTGATATTTTAGTAGTAGTATAGCTCCATGTGAAAGAGTTCGTCCAAGGAAGTACTGCCGCCTTTACATATTTCTATCGCCGATGTGAGCATTATTGCGTTCCGGTTTGGAAGATTAAGGGTGCTAGTGAAATTGTGAAAAACACATGGAACTTGTCAACTTATATCTCGGGGTGACGGGCACAGTGGCAGCCTAAGGTATTTGCAATTTTAAGCTCTGAGTGACACTACAACTGTTTTGGATAGGCGTGTCGCTTACCACCAGGCGTACGACTTGTTTTTCCCGTCATTTGGTATTAAAAAAAAAGTACGTATGCAATATTTTGAAAAATTAATGTAATAAAACTGCGACAAAGACAATTTGTGCCTTTGAAGACTATAGCAGCCTGATCAAATTTGCAAGTAACATTATAAAATGCCAAAAAATTAGTTCCAGCACAGTATAAGATAAGATGCGTCTATAGGATGCGCCCAACGAGCCGAAACAATGAGGTCGCCGCAAAGAGCCCACGATTGATGTTACAAAACTAATTACCTGTGACAGGACGCTTTTAATATGACCCCATTTTTATTAGGACATCCTTGTATCCTGACAAATACATATACGGATAAATTTTTCCTCTACTATTTGAAAGAATTAATAATGTAATAAATCTTGATTTTTTGATGAAACATCTCATTTAATATTTGTATAATGTTTGTTGAGCATATCTGAGAGAGCATAATTTAAAAAAAAGCTCACGTTAAAAGTTTGCATATTTTTAATTGGAATTACATCTTTTTGCCAAGTGTTATTGCAATCGGTTACCGGAAAATGCGCAAAGCCGGATTCATCTTCTCATTTGCCACCCTCAGATGTGGAATATTTTCTTCAAATGTAAATGGTACCAATACTGAGGTCCCTCTTCCAACAAAAAACGAATCATCAAAATCAGTTCACAAATGCCGGAGTAATCGCACACCATACATACACAAAAAATGTCATTGAATTGAGAACCTCCTCCTTTTTTGAAATCGGTTAAAATGAGGAAACTTCAAGTGGAATTTTTAACTAATTAAAAAAGCCTGCATCGGGGCATTTACACTGAGTGTCTAACCTCGATTAAAATATACTTCAAATAAAATTGCTTTAAGGACTAACCACACACATCAGGGCCGTAACCGGGATGCGGACGGACCATGCTCGTTTCTATCGCCGGCTCGGCCACGTACATGTGTGAGCGACTTCGTGCAAAATAAAAATTGACAATGAAAAATTGGAGAGAATGGTTTGGCTGCAGTACCACCTCGCTCTTAGAGCGGCAGCCTCTAAAAACAGGATTGCCATGATGTTATCCATCTCGGCTAGGAGAGGAACTCCAAGAACAACTTAAAAAAATGAATATTTCAGTAAAAAGAAAGAAAAATGAGGGCCTCTACTATAAAGTAGGTGTGTGAAAATGGTAAATATTCGAAACCTTTTGTCGAAGTATAATGTTTATGATTTTCGTCATCTTTTATTATGCGCACAGGAATGGAATTCCCTGTCTGCGATTGCGTTTCCGAGTACATACAACCCGAGTATCTTTAAAGTGCAACTGAATATCGTAGATTCTGTCTTTACTCTGGAGCAAAGACAGTCTCAAGAGCAAATCCGTTTGCTTTAAAAAAAGATCTAAGTAAATTATGACCAAATCAACAAATCTGCAAAATTGACGCACTGCGTAATACTAAAACCTCACAACGCAGCTGATAATGTAATAAACAACCATATATAATACTGCCTAAGGTCTACACGTGGGTGGAAGGCCGACACATTAAACACACTGGATTATCGATGTTTGTCTTAGAAACACGTAACGACCTTCGATTGCATACGTATTCATGTTTCTATGAATGGAATGAGTGGACATTGAAAGGCCTTAGTGCAATACTACGAACTGTTACTATCCATTGTATGTGGTCTCAATAATTACGTAATATATTTAGGAATTGAAACTATTTTTCCGGATTTAACACGCGTTTATTTGTTTTTCAAACAAACCAACGTTTAGGGTTCCAGGTCCCATGGTCGCGATTGACTGATGGGACCTGTAAAGGGCACGAAACGTTGGTTTGTTTAAAAAAAGAAATATACGCAATTTAAATCCGGAAAAATTGTTTCATTTCCTATGTGTAACAATCGCGAAAACCTAAGAACTCGATACGTAATATATTATTATGTCGTCTTTTTTTACTAAGATTCGGGTCTTTAAGACAGTCATTAGACCAGTCTTGATGTATGAATGCGAAGCCTGGCGCTGACATTGAAGGACCAACTAGGGAAGAAGATGGAACCTGGCGAATGAGGAAAAATCTGGAGATCGAGAATTTGACAAAAGAGCATAACTAACCTAACCTAACCTACACTACCCTAACCTAACATCACGGGAGAGACCAAATCAGCCCGATTTCGTTGGCTTAGCCACGTCGAAAGGATGGGTGAGGATCGTGCAGTCACGAGAGGGGCACTGAACTGGACTGGCAGAAGACCGGTTGGATGTCCTAGATATTGCTGAATAGACCAAGTCCACAACCATCTGTGTAAACGTCGAATAGCCGATTGGCAACAAATAGCACAGAAGAGAGAAGAGTGGCGCATCTTGGTGTCGGAGG